ACATCAATGCAGAGAGGAGATGTGAATGTTAAGACACGTGTTAGAGTGATGGCTGTTCAGTGGGCACACAGGAGAGTTGTATCTTTGTTGACCACTACTGGTTCTGCAAGGTATTAAATTTGTGATGAATCTCTTGAGACTGTAGCTCTGTTGGTTTGTAATGAAATTAAATAGTGATGAAAACATAATCGCTTCTCATTATAAATTGATACATATGCATGTACGAGGGTTGTCCCGTAAAATCGTAGACAAAGCGTTTTTCTCGGAAAATAATGGACGCACTGGGCTGAAATTTTCAGCAAATGTTTATTTATCATACTTGAGTATAATTTACTTTTTTGGTACAAAATAAACAAGAATAAGGATTTTATTATGCCTTAATATGCGCAAGGTATGGTCCTACGGCGCACCACCAAAAACGGATAATTTCCCCCGAGAATGATAAACGCAATATTTCAAATTAAAAATTATTATTCGAATCAAATTGTGACAAAAATTATCTTATTTAAATTTCTGGTCTATTATGACGTCATTTTAAAAATTTCATGTTGATTGCGTCATTTTAAACAGTTTACCGAACATTTGAAATGCAATAGTACTGCACAGAAAAGGAGGAAAATGTCGCCGTTTGATGACGCTACGGCGCACCGGAATGACGCTACGGCGAACCGGAATGCTATCCAATTTTGTGTAGATTTAGGAATGACGCCTGTACAGACTTTAAAACAATTTAAAACGACTGAAAAATATATGAATGTCTCAAGAGCTTTAGTTTACAAGTGGCATGGGCGATTTTCGAGTGGAATTTCAGGTACTGAGTCCCGTGGGAGACCGACGCATACAGACAAACAACTACTGGCTGCTGTAAGAAATACCGTCAACACAGACCGTCGAAGAACAGTTCGGGAGATTGCAAGTTTAGTTGGATGTGGTAAGAGCACCGTCCATAGAATATTAACACAGAACTTTAGTATGTCCTACGTATGTGCAAGATGGGTCCCTCGCTTGCTTACTGAGGATCAGATGGCAACTCGTGTTCGAACATCAGTCCAATTCCTGAACCGTTGTAGGGCCGATCCAACTTTTCTGAGCAGAATAATCACAACAGATGAGACGTGGGTCCATTATTATGAACCTGAAAGTAAGCGGATGTCCATGCAGGGTTTAAAATTAACGCTCGCCCACTCGCAAATTGCGAGTAAAATTTGGTGTGGGCTCATAAAATTCATAACTTGCTCGCCCACATGGCGAATGAAAATTCTGCAGGGGCCGAATTCATTCGACCAGTCCCCTTACTGAAAAACAGACATTTCCACAGGTTTTTCATTCAAAACTCCCAACCAATGAAATAAATCACAGCAGCATGGTCCTATTGTTCGTAAATATCCTTCATCTTTTCCATTTAACAGTACTACATGATTTGTGAAAGCCCTAAAACGATCGTTTTTTTCCTAATCCGAATTTCCTCCATTCTTCTGTACATGGTTGATACGTGAAAGATATACAATTTTAATAACTCCAAACTACCTATTCATATAAATTATAAGTGTTTTTACTTATTACTGTTTCAGATATGTTACAGTTAAAATATTTAACATTGAAAATCTTATTTATGTACCATTGTTACTTCATTTGAACTTGAAGGAGCAAATACATGTATACGTATTCCACCATGTAAAAAAGGATAGTAAAATTGATGCTTGAATTCAATTTTATTTCCTTTGATTAATTAAGAAATAAGGTATCATTTTTTGAGTTTTATTGAGATGTAAAACGGGCTGGTCACGTGATCAAATCCCATAAAGCCCGAAGGGCTTTATGGAAGATTTGATCATGTGCCAACCCGTTTTACATCTCAATAAAACTCAAAAAATGATACCTTATTACTTATATTTACATTTGTGACTTATTCATACTTTATATTTGCCTGATTGTTACTTTTAACGTGTGAAATGCGTTAATTTTTCAAACCCAACGGCATGTATGGTATCCACTAAACGCGTGTCGATCCTTTATGACGTCACAGAGAAATTACGTCGAACGTTTATCCAAACGCACATCTATGACCTCTTGACCCCATACCTGTATTTACACAGTTATAAAAACGCTTGCTTTCAGTAGTGTTATATAAAGGAAAACATTTGCAAATGTAAATATATATTCATATGACATTTGATTTTTATAAAGTAAGAACTCCAATTTTAAACAAATGTAGTTATACACAATCATATTTTATTTTTATCTACTTTTGTCCCAGTATCCAAAAAAAAAAAAAAAAAAAAAAAAAAGGAACAATTTTTTTTAAATCACAGAAACTGACTGTGGGCTAACAAATTGAGCTGTGGGCTCCTAAATTTGAAATGTTAGGAGCCCACATGGCTAGTGGAAATTTCAGTTAATTTTAAACCCTGCCATGGTTTGGAAGAATCAGGATAGCCCCCCTCCGAAGAAAGCGAAAGTTGTCAAGTCTATGGGAAAAGTGATGTGCATGGTCTTTATGGATATATCAGGGGTTATTTTGGTTCATATGGTGAAAAATGGCTGTACGGTGAATACAAATTACTACTGCAAGGTATGTCTATTTTTGGTACATGTAAAAAAAAATTAAAATTTAAAATTTCATAAGGGCCTATTTAATCATAATAATTAAAATAAAACGATTGTATACTAGTATATATTATAATAAATCATAACTTCTTCATTCCGTTATGTATATATAAGTATTTTGGCACTGATAAGTCAAAAATCAAATTTATTATTTGTTCTTTCAAAATGCTTTAACGATTTTTTTTCTTCAATTTTCAGGTAGTTCGCCGGGATTTGTTGCATGCTATACGCAAGAAGCGCCCACATCTTGCAGAGAATCTTGAAAACATTATATTTCACCAAGATAATGCCCCAAGTCATCGGTCGGAACGCACAGAATTTGAGTTGGACATGTTAAGTTTTCAAAGAATAGAGCATCCTCCGTACTCACCGGATCTGGCCCCATTGGATTTTGCATACTTCCCAAAGTTAAAAGACTACTTAAGAGGTCGTCGTTTTGAGAGTCGCGATGAAATTAAGTATGAAATAAGAACATACAACAAGACCTTAAATTGTCAGTGGTTTGAAGATGTTTTTAATAAATGGATGTGCAGGCACCAGAAATGCATTGACAACGGGGGAGATTATTTTGAGAAGGTGTAGAAAGTTGGTGACGTGCGAACAAATACTATGACGTTATTATCCGTGCGCCGTAAGGCAATACCATCTAGGACATTAAATGTCATATTTTTTTTATTTGAGCACATATCTTTTTCAAATTTGCTACAAATATTGAAAAAATATATACTATATTATAGTAAAAATTTCGTAACGCTGTGTTGATTAGTTTTTAATCTAGACAACTTGTCTACGATTTTACGGGACAACCCTCGTACATGTAATTCACTTGCTTTTCTACATTTACCGGTTGTACACTTTTATTCTACATATGTAAGTTGATTAAAATATTAAAAAAATATCAAAACTATAGGATGAATAAAGTTTAAAAGCGCTACATATTTATAGGCAAATACGAACAACAAATGGAAAGGTTCGGGAAGTTTCTATCCCTGCCATAATAGATACCGACAATCTTACGATGGGAGGGGTCGATCTCGGAGATCAACTAATTCTCCAATTTGAGCCACAGTTCAAGAGTTTAAAGATGTGTAGAAAACTCCTATTTCACTCTCTTGTAACCGCAGCAGGTATATGCTTTCACATACACTTCCATGTATATAAAAACATATTTGATTAAAGCTGTTCGGAATGTAAATTGTTATAAAATATTTTTGTGAAGTCGAAATGATTTTATCTTATAATATCTTTGTAGTAAATGCCTAGTATATTTGCTACCGAGATTCCTTCACTGTACAACACAGGAGGGTTGCGACAGGGTAGCAGGAACAAACGGCTGCGTTTGATACCAGTCCAACACAGAACCTTGGCAAGATTGTCCGAGAGGCACTTTCCGTCCAAAATACCAGATGGTAAGCGAAAGAGATGCGCTGTTTGTGCGGGACATGGAGACGGATTCAGGAAGACAAGACTTCAGTGGTGGTGTGAGGACTGCAGGGTCGGACTCTGTGTAGAGGGATGCTTTAGGAAATTTCACACGAGGATCAATTTTGAGTAGTAGTTGGAACACAGATATGACAAACTATTACTATACTACCCTACGTTTAATCTAAGTAAAGGTTACATGCCTCAAACTGTCCATTCTGTGAGAAGAAAGAACTATTGGAGGGCCGTTAGGCCCGACAATAGTTCTTTTTTCTCACAGAATGGACAGTTTGAGGCTTGTAACCTACTTAAAACATTTCATTCCATTGTGTTCAGAATGGACTCTCTTAGAAAAGTTTCTCTCTTGCAACGTCAATGAAGTAAACATCCTTTGTATTAAATTTGGCATTGTCTTCTTAGTAGACTGTCTCAGATAAATTTGTTGATTTAAATACTGTGAATAGGATTCACTTCAATTGTTAACTTAGTGGACAGTTACAGGTGAGTTCCTTGGTTTTGTATAAAAAGCATGCACATCGAACACCACTTCTTAGTAAATGTCCCTGCGGTTAGGATGTCCTCTTCAGATGGAGAAAGCGTGTTTTTAACACAAAACAAGTTTAGAGAAGTTGATGAACAAGAAAACAACACGGATGGCATTCTCAGTGATATTTTGGATTTGGAAAGAGAACATCCAAAAAAACAACCGAATTTTGACCTCAAAGTAGATATTTTTTCGGATATTTCTGACGAGGAACTTGTTAAGGCCACCCAAGACATAGAAGGAAAAGAAAATATTGAAAGGTTTGCACGGCTCAATCAAGAAGATTTGGATAATTTGGTTAAGAAAGGTTTATCGAAGAAAACAGAGCAAAAGTCAAAGTGGGCAATGACTATTTACGAACTGGCAAAATGAACGAAAGCGTATGTTACCAAACCATGATACATTTATGTACCAGGATATTATGATAATGAGTGATGAGGAAATCAACAAAACAATGAGTTTCTTTGTAGCTGAAGTGAGGAATAAATCTGGAGAGGATTACAGACCCAATAGCTTGTATGAAATTGTGTGTGCAATTCAACACAAATTACGACATGAAGGTAGATTCATAAACTTTTTGGATGATGATAAATTTCACGATATGCGCAGTATTCTTGATTCAAAGATGAAAGAACTCTCTGGGCGAGGCATGGGGATAGAGCGGAAACGGGCAGAGATCATAACTGAGGCTCAAGAAGATGAAATGTGGTCCAAGGGAGTTTTAGGAAGAGATACACCTCAAAAACTCTTCGATACTCTACTGTTTCAACTAGGACTACATTTTGCACTACGAGCAGGACAGGAACACAGAAACTTGAGGGTTGGGACAAACAGTCAGATTTCTCTTTCCATGGATGCATCTGGACTGCGATATCTCGAATATAGAGAGGATGTCTCCAAAACAAATCGCGGTGGGCTCCAGCACAAAAATCTGCAACCTAAAGTTACCAGAGCATACCAGAACAAGAATGTTCCCGAGAGATGTCCTGTGCTCACGTATGAAAAATATCTGCATTTAAGGCAAGTATATTGTTGTTAATTTCCACCAAAATATTGCTGTAACATATATCTTAATTTAAAACACTTCAATCTATAATATGCAATTTTCTTTTAAAGGCCTGAAGCTGGTAAAACCAATGCTCTCTATTTGCGACCTCTGCGGTACCCCACAGATTCCACTTGGTACGCCGACTCCCCTGTTGGAGTACACACTCTTCAACAGACCGTCGCAAAACTGTGTAAAATAGCAGGATTTACTGGCCACTACACAAACCATAGCCTCAGAGCAACCGCCGCAACACGCCTTTACGATGCTGGCATTGATGAGCAGCTAATAACCGAGAAAACTGGACACCGCTCGACATCTGTTAGATCGTATAAAAGAACAAATGAAGAACAACAGCAAAGAGTGAGCAAAATCATTCACGGTGAAAATCAGTGTGATGTAGCTATCAAGAAAGCCAAAACCGCAGCCAAAAGTGATTCTAATGTGTGTGCACCAGCTGGTGCTAGTGAAATTGAAATTTCGTCTGGAAGTGTATTTTTCAAATTTAAATTCTAAAGTTGGAATAATTATTACAATGTGTGTAATTCGTTGTTCATGAATAACATGTATATCTTTTGTGTTGGATTTGTTGTTATTTTTTCTTAGTGCTTACCTGTAACTGTCCAATAAGTTGTAAAAAAGTGTCCACTATTTTTAATAGTGGACAGTTTTTCCAACTTATTGGACAGTTACAGGTAACTTATTGGATTGTTTTTGTTATTTCAAGGATAAGAAGGTATTAAAAGAACAAAAGATGATGTCATAACAATGTTTTAATTGTGGTGTGTGTGTTCGACAGAGAGAGCGGGATTTATCGATTAGCTATATTTATATTCTTATTACAGATAAATTCAAACCTAATTATTTATTGTGTAGAGGGATGCTTTAGGAAATTTCACACGAGCATCAATTTTGAGGAGTAGTTGGAACACAGATATGACAAACGATTACTCTACTCACTGTGAAACTACCCTACGTTTAATCTAATTGTGGTATGTGTGTTCGACAAAGAGAGCGGATTTATCTATTACCTATATTTATATTCTTATTATTAAATTCAGATCTAATTATTAACAGCAGGGCTTGCGTATGTCATAATGCTGTCTTAACTAAAACGTTGCTTAAATGAAAGGGACTAGGAGCTACATCTTTTTATGTTCGTTAAAATTAGAGAGTACGAATATTATAGCAATTTAGCTGAACACATTGATTAACTTTGTTGACGGTGGCAAAATCAAATATACATGTATATTAAGTAAATTATTTAACAATATCTGTCAATCAAAAGTTACGCACTTATTGAGTTTACAGAGAGGATATGTTATCAGTTTGTTATTTTAAAAGAAGTTTTAACAACAATATATTATTTGAAAGTATGAAAAAGTTTTTAAAGACTTATCTTGAGTATACTAGCTACATGCATAAATATTTTCTAATTTTATTTTACGTCAATTAAAAAAATTATTGGTATTCACCACTTGTACTAGGCTTGCGCGTCATTAGGTCAATCTGAGGTCAGGGGTAAAACAACCAGCGCTGCAGTGTAAACAATGCTAGACCGAGCTAGAGTATGTGAATCTATTGTATTAGACTCGATTAGATAATTTAGGCATAATTATTTAATTTAGATAAATTGATTATTTCATTAATTACTTATTTGAGGAAGAAAATAGTAAATAATCAGGGTTTTAAGACAGGAAACCTCGAAGTATATCCCGTTTCGAATTTGCTCGGTGTTCTATTTTCTACGTGCAAGAGGTTTATTATGTCAGTTCAGGTTGTATTTTCTTGCAAGGAGATAGATGATATATTAAACACAAGTTCAGCAGTTGCGTGTATTAAAATTTTATTTAAAATTTTCAATATTTACAAATATTTAAGATGTTACTGAGTACTCCAAAGCTGTGCTCAACCAGAGTTTTCTTTTCTGAAAACAGCTGTGTCATTTGAACTATGTTGAAATATCGACAGGACTGAGTGCAATATTAGCACGCAATATAATGGTATCAGCGTTTTGTCAGTTCTTTGATTTAACTGTTTTGACATCACACTGCTGCTGTTAATTTGCTCAAATCACTGAATGTAATCAATGGTTTGAATTGAATCAGCAGAGGAAAGTACAGTATGCTTACATTGGTCTAACTGTGTGCTGTGAAAAGATTATCAAGATGTACAGTCGGTACTTTTAATTACCTATGCTTTAATTGTACATGTATAAATACAGTGAAACCTGTGTAATCCGACATTGGGAGGTGAATTTTGTGTCGGAATAGAAAGGATGTCGGGTTGAAAGTGTAAAATAACATTAAAATTAGTAAAATGGGAAGAAATGTTAGGTCGGAATTTACAGTGTGATTGATTTCACAGGTGTCGGATTAGACAGTTTTCAATGTATATGCATTTATAAGCTGTGACCACTTCTAAGAGATGTACAGAAGGCCCCTATGCAGTATGTTATTATCAATTTCAGTTAAGTGTACAGTTTTGAATTACGTCACATTCTATGATAACAGCTGCACTCAAGGTAAATAGTACATGCCTCTTAGCCGGAAGCTTTACGACTGGAACCCTAATCCCTGATCGGTTGCTCTTGCAGCAGACTATTTCCTTGTCAATGTTGATAATATGAGTTGACCAGTCACACTGCAGGGCGTGAATTAGTTACGCTGGATGCATTTGTCGAAAAAGATTGTGACGTAATGCAAAACTGCATACTTAACTGAAATTAATAATAAATGTGGGATATGTTTATGATCAACAGAAGGATATGAGGATTCCAACTTTCTGTGCGAGTGTAATTGTGGATGTAAGAATGGATCAGATGTAGAACACTTCAAAATTTTTTTAGTGAAACTTTTATACCTCACATTGTTTTAGAGCTATTGTAAAAATAAATTTTTGGACATGTAACGATGTTGACCTTTGACGAAAGATTAAAGTCAGACATCCGCTAAACGTTTCAGAAAATCAATTGTTTAGGGGTCCAAGCTGTTATTTTTCTCCTGAAGTTTTGAAATATGAAAATCTCCCCTAAACTTATTTTAAAATTCAATACAAAAGGTGTTTAATAAATTGGTTTGAATGGATTCACTACAGAAAATATGAAAAAGTTATGGACTTTATCATGTCCATTGATGTATTGTAGAACCATATTACAAAAGGTGTTATGGTTCTACAATACATTAAAGAACATGAATTGATAAAGTCCATAATATTTCCAAATCCTACTGTGAATCATTGATTCAATCCAATTTTAAACAAACAAGAGGCCCACGGGCCTTATAGGTCACCTGAGTATCATGAAACAACTTTCCAAAAATTGAATTTGGTTCATGTTTTAAACCAGATGCCATGAAATTCGCAATTCTGAAAGAGGCACCATTGCTTATCATAATTATACACTTAGAATGCTTACTCTAGTTACTTAATACCCAGAGTTAGATCAGAGTAAGAAAGAGAAAATGCATTTTCACTTTACAACCAGTCGTGCACCCCACCCTGCGGAACCACTGACCCTGGGGCCACATACTTAAAAATTTTGGAAATTTTATCATAAATTTTATTTCATCATAAATGGTTGATTAATAGCACAGAGCAGATTTCAAAGCATTTATTTATCTTCAGACTATGTACTGTTACCCCCCCCCCCCCCTCCCGATACCCCTGATCCAGAGAATGTGAAATTAATCATTTTGCTAGATGCACCTTTCCTCATCATAAATATATGTACTAGGATCATTGACATAATACCTAGGAGCAATGGAAAAGATTTTCAAAGAATTCATGCATTTTCACTATATATAATGATTACCGGTAGAGCCCCACCGTAACACCAGAACCCCTGACCCAGGAGCCATGAAATTCACAGTTTTGGAAGAGGCATCCTTCCTCATCACAACTATGTACATGTACATAACTTTACATAGCAGAGAAGAAGATTTTTGAAGAATTAATGCATTTTCACTATATCATCAATGGAGCCCCGCCCTAACACCAAAACCCCTGACCCTCGGGGCCATAAAATTCACAATTTTGGAGGATGCACTCTTGTTAATCATAACTATGTACTTAGTTGGTTTCTTTAATACCCAGGAGCAGAGAAGAAGATTTTCAAAGAAATAATGTTTTTTACCATACAATCAATAGAGCCCCGCCCTAACACCAGAGCCCCTGACCCAGGGGCCATGAAGTTCACAATTTTTGAAGAAGCACTCTTGGTCATCATAAGGGGACGACCATTTGATTTTGGGGGGGGGGGGCTGGCAAATTTTTTTGAGACGGATTATTTATTTTCATGCCTGTCAAGGACAGATTATTTATTTTCAAGATTATCGAGGACAGATTATTTATTTTTTTCTTTGTCTTATGGTACCTTGATCGATTGATTCTAAAAGACTAATCATTTATATACCATAGGCGGATTCAGGATGGGGGGGGGCATGTATAACTTCGTTCAGGCAAGAGGTCTGGGGCCGCCTTAAGGCCCCCAGTGGGTCCTGGGCGAAGCACTGGTGGAGGCCAAGGGAGGGAAATTCCCCAGAATCTCTTGGGTTTTCATGTATTTTAAGAATAAAGCCAGGACAATTATACAATATATAATTGGTTATTATGTACCAAAGTATGACATTATTAATATTGGTCATGTCATACTTTGAATGAAGGGGGTCCAGGGGGTGAAGCTCCCTGAAGCTCGTGGGTTTTTGAGTAAAACCAGGCACAATTATGTAGGAATTGGTTACTAATGTACCAAAGTATGACACAATTAATATTAGTCATATCATACTTTGAATGAAGGGGGCCCAGGGGGCGAAGCCCCCTGAAGCTCTTCGGTTTTTGTGTAAACTAGGCACAAAAATATTGGTATTGTACTAAAGTATGGCAATATTAATATTATTCATATCATACTTTGAAATTTTAGGGGACGGGTCATACACATGTACGCCTTTCTTAAATCCGCCACTGTATACTTAGTATTAATTTATCGGTTAGTATACTTTGACAAGAAAATTTATCTTTTGTGGTGTTTAAGAATTGGCTTGTATTTAAAGTGATTCATCACATCTACTGAGTGCACATTGCCATGCTGATCAACTGACTACAAGTATCCAGTCTGGTAATCTGATTTTAAATACTATTTGGTTCTAAAATGGCGAGCGAAGCGAGCCAAAAAAATGCTGAATTGAAGATTCTGAGGTTAATTACACGGAAATAAAAAGGTATTTTCACAATATTTGAATATCATAAGTCAAGGTCAGATTATTTATTTTCTTTGCAAAGGAGGACAGATTATTTATTTTCAACATTTTCAGGGACAGATTATTTATTTCCAAAATCTGCCAGCCCCCCCCCCCCCCCCCCCCCCCCCCCTCAGAATCAAATGGTCGTCCCCTAACTATGTTCTTAGTTTATTTAATACCCAGGAGCAGAGAAGAAGATTTTCAAAGAAATAATGCACTTTTACTATATGATCTAGATAGCCCCACCCTAACACCAGGACCCCTGACCCAGGGGCCATG